TATATATATATATTATATATATATTAAATATATATATATAAATATATATAAATATATATAAATATATATATATATATATATTATCCGTAAATAGAAAAATACAATGTATTATCGTATTTCAAAAATGTACAAGCTCACTGCTCCCCCTTAAGTAATTCCTCCAAATACAAACGTTCAAATTTCTTCATATATATATAAAATACATTTGTTAAAAAAGTACAAAACAAGATATCTCGTCTATATATGTAAAAATACACGTATTCTTTTTTTTTTTTCTTGCAATAGCGTAGTAAAATTTTACATATTCAATCAACTTTCCTCCTCGCTGCGAAAATTGCGCGTACAAGGTTGTGGCGCGAGGTCGTCGAAATTGCCGAAGCAAGATCACACGCGCGCATAAAATTCACAAAGCTTGGACTTTTTTTTTTTTTCAAACTTTCATATTTTTCAAGACGCAAAGTCTATTGAAGTGTGACCGTTCAAAAAAAAAAAAAAACTGTCGTTCGTACAAACGCCGGAAAACCATTTTCCCAATTGTCTCTCGTGTATATAAAACTCTCTTAAAATTCTTTACACCAATTTACCAATTTTTTTTTCATAACAATTAACAAATGTAAAGTCTAAATAGGCCCCCCTGTTTGCAAGAGCCCCACAGGTTTCGCTATTTGTAAAAAGGCCTCTCGTTCCAATGTATGCGTATTAAGCGTATACAGAGTTTGACGTTTCGTCTATACAAAGAAAATTATATTAGCGGCGAACTGCAGATTATTACAGCAGACAAGAAGAAAAATTATTGAAGGCGCGTGTCGGAGTGAGAGATAGATTAAAAAACTCGACACGCGTTCCCTCCAATGTGAGAAACGTGATTGCGGGATGGCGAATGACTTTTTTTTGACGAATATACACACGGACATGATGTTATTAACACATCTCGATGACAATTAACAATGACGTCGCTCCCCGCGTTCCCCAATTCCAAAAAGCTGTGTGAGAAAAAAGATAATATGTTTTAATAATTTTTTTGTTTAAACGTATATATATACTCACGCTTCTCAAAATCTGCTACGTGTTTGAAAAGAATCGAGCTCGAGCTGTTACTAAGCTTTTGTCTCTTTCGCCTTAACGAATCGGGATCATCTACACAAATGATTGCACATTAATTCTGGATTAACTCATCTCTGAATTCTCTTAACGCAACAAAATTTGTGTTTTCGAACCGTAGAACGGCCTCGAACGGTTTACTTGAAACCGTACAAATTGCTTTGATATACGCCAACAAACGGGAGAATATCTAAATCCGGATTCAAGTTAGAGCTAGAAACAGTTCGCATTTTTTTTTTTTTCGAGAGAGTCTGTCTAATGTAAAACGCTACAAGGAAGAAAACAAAATTACATACACACTCGCAATATATGTAAAACTTAACAACAAGTAATAATAAAAAGCAACGTACATTATACGTATAGATGCTATCCCAGCAAACACAGAATACAACAGCTGTTATATTCTGTTAACGTCAACGTTATGTAATTTTGTTTTACAAATGTAATATAATTATGTTACATATCTATTATATTGCTTGTTATATTAGTTATGGCAATGACATTATAACTTTTATATAACATTTCTGTAACTATTTAGGTCTAACGGAAAGTTCTGTCCGTTTTTGGAATAAAACAAAATACATAAATTTTTCTTACCGTCAATAAACTTTATTAAATAAATATAATTAATATTAATGATTTCTTGCCAGCGATGAGGGCAATTTGTATATCTCATTTTTGAAAAATTTGGAAAAATATTGTATTTTGTTTTTATTCCAAAAAACGGACAGAACTTTCCGGTAGACCTAATATATAACAATTATTATTACATTCTACTTACATGTTATATTCAAATAACATATAACTGCAATATAAGATAAGTGGGAAATTACAACTGACATGGATGTTACATGCAACGACCATGTTATATTGCATGTTACATTTGTTTTGTTACACTGAGAAAAAAATACCATTAACTCAACTAAACGCGTTTAAATTGAGTTTTCAGTTTGTTATCTGAAAAATACCCTTGTTTTCAATTCAAGCATATGGTAATAAAGATAACAAATTCGTACAAGTTGAATTAACACAATAAGTGGTAACGAACAAATTTAATTAGCTAAACCATGAATTTTGTTTTGTCGAACATAAGCTGTGATAATTTCAAATAAAAGATACTGTTAAAAAAAGATGAAACAGGCAATTCTCATTTACTTTAATTGAATATAAATCTGAATTTCTTTAAATTATAAAATTCGCTCGCAATATTAACAATTAAGTAAGTAAGTATAGAAAAATATAACAAGGTCGTTTGTGATCTTGACTTTGGATATGAAGTCAAACTTTATACAACTACTATGGACTTCTAATGTAAGATCTCTATCATTTTTTCTTCAATTTTCTTGTAATTTTGCGAACCTTGTAATATGACGTGATTATTTATATTTATTTTTATATTTATATTTATACACTGAAGAAGGCTCGAGTAAGGGCCGAAACGTTTGTCATCTCTTAATTTTATTTGTTTTTCATTTGCGTTTTACCGCGTTTTATATGCTTTTTGTTTAAATAAACTTTAAGATCCATTAAAAGCTCGAAACAGAGACCTTGTTATATTTTTCTATACTTACTGAATTTCTTTGTACCAAATATTTCCCAATCAAACTGCTTGTTTTTACAAGCAGACAAAATATTGTGTTGTCCTATTGTGTTTTACATTCAAAGTTCTAATATCTAATATTTAAGCAAATTTATAATTTTGTTAAAACAACTAAATTGTCTTTCGGTATAACCCTAATTGTTATATATCTATTGAAACGTGATATCTTCTTAACATCAATTCAATATTTCATCGACAGCCCGTGACCGCCGCATACAGTTGAATCAAATGCCATTTTGTTACTTCAACAACTTTTTTTTCTCAGTGTACGACAATGTTGCTGTTATATATCTGTGTTTGTGCTGGGATAGTAGTACAACGATGTTGTCTCAAGTTCGACTAGAAGTGTGAGAGATTATATTGAATAATAAATAACAATATTATACTGAATATTAAAAAAAACAAAAAATCACTTGTAAAAACCATTAAAAAAAAAAACATCAAGCAAAGATCAACAACTGCAAAAATTTGACTAGACTAGAATTCCGCACGCTTATTAAATGCACCTCATATTACAGCAAGAATCCGATCCGTCCTCTGCGTGACGTGAACTCGGGAGAAATCTTTTTTTTAAACACATTTTCATCGTTTCACGCGAGTTTCGCATGAAAAAAATCAAGTTTTTACAACAAGGGTTTTGTAACACTAACAAAAAGACTCGCCGCGAGACGCGGAATTTTTCTCTTTTGCGCGAAAACAATTATTTCTCTCGTATACAAATATTGAGTTGCTCTCCCAACACTTGGCAGTATATATATATATATAAACCCAAACATTATATAAATCGCTAAACTAAAAAAAAAAAAAAAAAAAAAAAAAAAAAAATTATTTCTCTCGTATACAAATATTGAGTTGCTCTCCCAACACTTGGCAGTATATATATATATATAAACCCAAACATTATATAAATCGCTAAACTAAAAAAAAAAAAAAAAAAAAAAAAAAAACAGGGTTTAGGTTTCTTTTGCCTCCGTCAATATTTTTCCGCCTTCGACCAGACTGTAATAGAACGACATCTCGTCAAATTCGGAGGCGGTCGCGTGCGGCGCCATCGTGGTGTAGAGAGCGTAGTGCTCGGCCTCGGTAAGATCAACGTCGGCGTACGTAGGTGACGTTTGTTGATCGTCATCGTCAAGTTTGAGAGATTTGACACCGGTAACGCTCGTCACACTTGGACGTTGCGGGTTGTTATCCTGATCGATACTCCTCGGCGAGTACGAAATGTTCAGCGAGGAGTCGTCGTTCAAATTCGTTATCGAACTTCCCTTCTCCTTCTTGTTTTTTTTCGCGAACAACTTGGAAAACAAACCCTGCTTGGCGTGCTTGGGCAATGTGCCGGGTAAGGACGGCAGATTTTTGTTCGGCGCCTCGGAGGAAGAGTCGACGAGGGTTTGAGCGGACGCGGGACGCGGCAGCACGGGCATAGACGGCATCTTGCGTATTCGCTTCGGTGGCAGCGGCGGCAATCTTTCCTCCGCCTCGCGCGTCACGTCCCTCTTGGCCGCCAATGTCGGCGACGCCACCGCGGACGTCTCTGCGCTTTGTTTCGGAACGGCCACGTCCTCGTACTTTCTGTCGTCCATTATGTCGAACAGTTGTATCGGATTTTTCATGGCCATTTGCAGACTCGTGTAAGTCTGATTGTCGCGAACGTCAATGTCCATCATTTGGGAATTCGCGTTGCTCTCAATCGCCGCGGCTTGGACCAGTTTGTCGTGCGTGTCGGCGTAGATCTGATCCAACTCGGCCACTTGCGAGAAAAACTCATTGAACGACTTGCCGACGTCGTCGTCCGTCGTCGACTCGCCTTTGCCTTCCGCCTCGTTGCTCTTGTCCTTCAAACACTCTTGTCCCTTTTGCACCCATTTGCCTATCTCGGAATAATCGAACCAATCGGATCTATTTCGCGAGGTGTCCAACACGTTTGTGTTCGCGCGCGCGTCGGATTTCACGCGAGTAACCGCATCGAACGCATCGTTATCCGCATTGCCGGCATCAACGGCGGCGTACAATTTGCCAATCTCTAATTTGTTACTCTCGGCGTTCTTATCGGAAATTATTATCGTCTCGTTACTCTGATAATTCAAATCGCCACTTTTTGCGACCACCTGATTCTCCGCGGAGTTTGTTGTCGTCTTCGGATCGCAACATCCGTTACACAAATCTAGATGATGATTTTTCATACTGTACAAGTCGTTCAGAGCGCGCAACGCGGATAATTTGCCGTTCGATTTTTTCGCGTCGAGATCGTTGTTGTTATATTCGTCGATGTTGCGAGACAGCTTGGGATTCGCAACAAGAACACTGTCGGCGGACAAGATTTTACTGAACGTCGCGTAATCCGCTTTCTTCCTAGCAAACGCTTTCCGCAAAGACCAGAAAGCAGGCCTACCTGTACCTAGCGGCAACATCTGAAACGGCAACGGTTCGCTCGTTATGCCGTCCGACGGCCTTCTGAGTTGAATGTGCACCTGGACCGGTTGCTCCACTTGCTGCGTACGATAGCCAGGCGTCCTGAACGCTATCGCGGTCTGCAAAGAACAAACGTTCCATTGCAAACACAAGAAATGCAACACAAGAAATGTGTTTACACGTATTATACAGGGTGTCCCAGAATTGCCGTACAATCTTTCGTAGGCAGGTAGAAGGAGTAAAACTGAGTCGAAAAGTCCTGAACCATTTTTTTCTATTATTTATAGATAGATAGATAGATAGGAATAAGCGGGGGGCTATCAAGACCCTTAGTGTCACCTAGATCTCATGATCCTCTGCGACTCCCGCTGGTTATTTAACGACCATACTGATTTAGCCCGGCATTTGCTGCCAGGCTGCACAGATGGCCGATCTTGAATCTTTTCAGGTTCTCAGGCTCCACAAACATGGAGCCTAAGAATCTGAACCTCTTGAGTACTAGTGAAGGGCAGCGGCACAGTATGTGCACGCTGTCCTCTTTTTCCTCCTTGCAAAATCTGCAACTACTCTCCTCAACTAGGCCTAGGTTGTATAAATGTGCCTTAAAGGCCCAATGCCCTGTGAGTAGACCGATACTCAATCTTTGTTTGTACTTACTCATTCTATTATTTATAATAAAGGAGCAATTATTGAGTAAATCAGGCCAATCAGCGCAGACCTTTAGCCAGGCACACGTCAGTGAGCACTCACTCACACCAGGCGCGCGGCTCACTGACGTGCGTCTGGCTAAAGGTCCGCGCTGATTGGCCTGATTTGACTCAATAATTACTCCTTTATTATAAGTAATAGAAAAAAATGGTTCAGGACTTTTCGACTCAGTTTTACTCCTTCTACCTGCCTACGAGAGATTGTACGGCAATTCTGGGACACCCTGTATATGCGGTTTTTACCGACTAATCACCTGTTTATGTACATGCGTTGGTTGGAAATCACCGTATCCCTCCCAGACCAACTGTCCGTCTCTTTCCTCGAAAAATCTCACTTGTATGTCTTCTTTTGCGACTTTTTCACAGAGCAATATCATGTCCATGCCACCGGCTACCGAAGCGCTGCAATGGCTCAGTTTGCAAATCACAAGATCCGACATTGCCTCTGAAAATAAGTACGTGTATTGGTGTAATCAAAGACGTTTGTGCTCCGATTAATTTTTAAAAATCAAATAAATAAATATTGCATACACACTTTTGTCGTAAATAGGATCAGACACAACAGGCTGCAGCGGTCTGTTGAACTTTCCTTTCTGCGAACCTTCCGTGAAAACTTGAAAACACAATCTCACCGCATTGAGATCAATGTTGGTTGGGTGTCGCTTGTGATCGAAACCAGCTGGAACAGTTGGAATATGCTTCGAATAAGCAATATCGCTCTTCGCAAATTGAAGCAAATAACTGCGCTGTGATAATTACACCAAAAAAAAACCACGTACTTCGAAAGGGATCTACTCTCAAATCCTGACGCACTCTGAGCGCCTCCTCAATGTCCTTCTTCTTTACGCACTGAATGCCCAGGTTTGAGAAAGTAACAACCATATTTCCAGCCGGAACTTCTACCGTACAGATACCCTGCTTGCACACCTCTTTGCCAACAAGATTGTGAGGATGAGGTCTGTACGGGGAATCTTTCGTCACGCAGGAGACAACCACCATCGCTCGACCTTTGTAACCTACAATCTGTAGGAAATAAGTTAAAGAACTCACTAACCTTTGCGCGGGCTAATTAATTTCAAGAAAACTAGCCGACATTTTAACAAAACACAGAATCAAACTGCAATTAGATATAAACACTTGTTGTTTACAATCGCTTACTCGTATACTAGGAAACGTTTTGTTCTCCGGCGTGCTGTTGACACCTGGGATGCTGCCAGCTGATCTGCCTTCGCACTCGTATCGAAAGCGCAGGGCCTTGCTGGCTGGCTGTTCCAAAATCTCAACATACGGCTGAACATGTTCCTGCCCGTCCATAGCCATGGGTGGCATAGAACCAGGATCTGTATTTTGTATAACTTCAACTGAAATCGCAATATTCGTTACAGTAGTTTTTTTTTACAAATTTTTACAGAAAGACACAAGAGCTTTGTTACTTACTGATATCACTTATATTAATACTACCATCGCTCATACCGTTGTATTGCGCCATGATTGTATTTAATTCACAGCAAACCTCTCATCTATCTGAAAAGTAACAATTTATCAGTCAAGTCGCACAAAAGACACAAGATAACTTGAATTCTTATGATTCAAAGTCATCACACAAACATTGTGTTGAAACTATTTTTAATCTAAACAAAAGAAAGGCGTATAAAAATTCCCATTAAAAACTATCTTACACATAAATCTTTAGAATAATCTTTACGAGGGACACCTATTTCCTGAATTATTTTACAACACGCTCGCTGATGGTCTGAACGTCACATCAAAGCGGCAACGTGCAAAAAACACTTATATTGAAGTATATCGAGAAACTGGAAGATTGTGGACACGCGCGACTTCCAGGTGCACAACAGGCGTTTTACAAAACCGACACAGCTGTTTGTTTCGCGGGGGACGAACGAACCTGGTGTATCCAGAAAACAACCGCCCGCGCAAGTGTCCCGGGGGAAGAAAAAGAAGAACGCGAGTTGGGACGCGCAACGCTGATCCAATCATTATTTTGGGAGAGCCTAGGCCCGTACAGGCGGTGTATCTATAATTAAACTATCGTAGGACAATGTGAGCGACGGGCAAAGAGAGACAGGGTGGTGGTGGTGGTGTGCGCACGCGGGACCGAAGAGAAACAGGAGAAGGAAGAAAGAAAAACTTGCGATGGTAAACTTGCCCGCTGATGGAACCAACATGCTCCAAGATAGAGATCCCTCGGTGTTCGCGCGGCGCGTTTGTTGTTTCCGCGACGACAAGGATGATGATGACGAAACAGCAGGAGGTCACCGACGACGACGATGAAGGTGGTGGTTCCCTGGAGAAGTGTTGAAGAGTTCCGCGACGCGGAAAAACTCGATCAAAAAAACGAAAACGTAGACTGGACCGGAGTATCCCCCAGTCCTTCCAGCGGAAAAACGCGTGGATGAGAAACTCCTCGAAGAAGACGTTCGTTCTGCGCGGGTGTTTTCCACTACGTGCGATCCCGCGATCTCATCTCACAGCCGCTTCGCGTTTCCCGCACGAGTGTGTTAGAGCAGCAGCAGCAACCTACCTACAACCGACCGAGCATTGTTCGGACGCTCTCGGATGGATCGCGCGTGTGTGCGTGTCTCAACTGCGTTGCGCGCTCGGCTGGCAAGCGCGATGACGTAAACCGACGACCAGCCAGCCAGCTCGAGATACACACCGCTCGCGGAGAGATGGACGCGACGTCGATGCGCGCGGACTGACTCACCGACGACTGACTGACCGACCGATGCCCGGGTGGAGAAACAGGGATCTCGGATAATAATAAGAAGAGTAAAAAAAACAACACATTTCGCACACGCGCGGCACGTTCGAAACTTCTCCCGAGTATAGTAATGGTGGGTAAGAGGTTTTTATGTATGCATGTAGCCGCGCTCGATTGAGCGAACCGTTGTGTGTGTGTGCGAGATTTCGCGGAACGCGCGATACAGTTTTCCTGATCGCGCCTCCCGGGGGGGAAATCTCGTTCCTACCGGAATCATCTGGCGAACATCGGGAAGAGAAAGAGAAAAAAAAGATGGGGGGTGGTGGTGTTGAATTCTCTCCGTGCACACATCGTGTTTATGCAAATATTTCACTTTATTTCAAGTCAAAAACTTTCTCTCGGGTTAACACACAAAGTCGCGATTTCTCCATTTTTTTGGTTCGCGCAATATTTTATTTGTTTATTTATTTTCACATCAGCCTTCCCGACCCCAAGAAGGGGATTTTGTTCGCGCGATAATAAAAACTGCGCTCTAGTAATTTTGAGATTCAAAGAGACTTCAAAGTTTGTCATGTTATTTTTTAAAGCAATGTGATGATGCGCGAAGATTAATAAAACAAACATGAAAATAAAACATGTTCGTCGAATTTTCTAGTAATTGTTTTAGTCGCTGTATATAAAAAAGTTTGTTATATATATCTCTGTATGATGTAGGCGCGTGGCTCGTTACATCGGGAAGATCGAAAGCTGTGAAGTCGCAAGTATCAAATCGAACGATGACGCTGAAGATCCAAATCAGCAGATGAATCTGCAAAAGAATCTCGGACAGGTGATGCGAGTAATTTACAGACGCGCGAATCGAGTTATAAAAGGTTTGTCAAATTCTATTTGTGTTCTTCGATCAAATCTGATCGATTACAAAAACGAGAAATAGATTTTTTTTTTTTTTTTTACCTTCAAGTCCGACCCTTATCTTTGCAAATTGCGGGAATGATGGTTCTTCGTCTTCCGAGGAAGACGAGCTGATGAGGAATAGAGAACATGTTATATAATTTTATATCTCTTCTTTTTCATATTTGTTTCAAAGTCAAACAAGAGTCTCTGACGAGAAAAACTGGATCGGATCTAATTTAAATCTAACGAGATTAACAAAAAAAAAAAATGGAAAAATAGATCCAATTAGATCTAAATTAAATCTAAATAAGTATAGATGTAAAGTAGATCTAAATAAATAAATCTAAATAGATATAAGTAAATCTATGGAAAAAAATTTACACTCTTTTATTTATTATCAGATCTTACTCCTGATCTAATCAGATCTATAATATTAGATTACCTCGGATCTGTTCAGATTTGCTCAAATCTAACTCAAATCTGAGTAGTTTTAATTACAGTAGATCTGAGTAGATCTATAAAGTAGATTTTTAAT